TGGAGGTGCCTCAGTACCAGGCTGTATACATACATGAATAAAAGATTGCTTACTGCAGCACAGGAGAGGCAGGCCAGTGTTACGAACATCAAAGTGGAACAGTTGTTGCGCTTCGTGACATTTTGTAGAGTTTACTGTTTGAAGGATGCTATTTATTCTGAATGCTATATGCTCTGATTTCAATATGCAGAAGTGAAAATCTCACTTTGCCAGACTTTTTCAGGTCTGGCTCTGACCTGGTGATGGGACGCAGAAAGCCTTCATTTCCACACGTGTCTGCTCCATAGAGCCCAGGGTGGCTCATTTCGGTTTCTGAACTCAGGAGTGCCACTCAAGCAGAAACTGCCTAAGGCTTTAGGAATGAAATGAAATACAAAATGAGATGCTATAATGTTGTTTTATAGTGTTCTTTATATCACAGTGTGAAAAAAGGCTTGTTCAGTAGAACCAAATTAAAAAATAAATAATAATAATAATAAAAGTAATTTATTTTTATTTATGTATTTGTATTATACCTGCTAGCAGCTTTGTAAGGCTGTGTGCTGACAGTGTTCAGCAGGTATAATAATGTTGGCAGACATTTGTTTGCGTCTGATGTGTGTCATTAGACTTCTTTTCTCCATTTTTGCTTTATTCTTCTAATGCACTGTATTTTAGGTGAGACAATATTTCTTACTCTTTAATATCTATTTGATACGGAAAGATATATCTACTGTATATATAGCATTTATGTTCAGTGTTGTTTAGCCTGTGGAATAAACAACACTAGATAACAAAAGCAGTGCTGTTTAAGAGCTGTTAGCTGCTCCGCCAGAGATACCATATCACTCAGTGCCTTCATTTTAAATAAAACTGTTTGAGGCCCAAAGAGGTCAGTGTAGCTGATATTTCATATGAAAGCAGGAAGCTCCATGTCTGAAAAAATAAATAGAAATCTGAGAAGTAGAACTTTGTTTTTCTCCCTGCCTCATTAATCATCCTAATCACCACACAACCCCTCTGATTTACCCCGTGATCCGGAAATGGCACTAAACTACCTGTAAACATGGCTGCAGCGGCGATGTGCCCCTCACACACTGACACAACAGTACTAACAGTCTACTATGTGTCTCATGTGAAAGTCTCAGGTTTTCATGATGCTGGTGCTCTGTTGAAAGTTCATGAACATGGATAACTTCAAAATCTTAGCAGCTGTGTGTTTTTTAAGCTAATTCACTGAGTATAATAAATGTCAACCATTTGCTTGCACCACAGGAAAACTCAGGGATCACTAAAGTTAGTATGAGTTATACTCCGGGGAAGCTGTGGGGAGGCACGCTGAAAGCACTGCTGCAAAAGTGGCACAAAGAAAGATTTGAAACTGTGTCTTCCAGTGATTGTGGCAATAATTATATTATTTACAGGAGTTTTGTAATCCCGCTCCTTAAGGGGGAAATAACTGTGTAAATGAAAATAAAAATAAATAAAAAGAATCTGAGCAGTCACTTTGGAAACAATACACAAAAACTGAAAACCATCAGAAAACTCCAAAACAAACTTTTTCAGAAGAAAATGTTGTGTTGTTTACTCTGCTGCATTTATTTGATCGCCTGACTTCTTTTTTAAAAAATCATAATTTTTGCTTGTTAGAAACTGTGCCTCATTTTAATTTATCCATCAGTGTGTTTTACACGAGTAAAGCTAAAAGATGGTAATTTAGGTTCGTTTTCATGCAAAGGAAATTCCACCTTTTCAATTGTGATCATTGGATGTCCTTTCAATCATAATATTCGATTTTTTAAAAAATCGTAAATTATTGTTTGTTTGTTTGTGCACTGTGTATCTTCTGTGGAAATGAGCCGCCTGAATTGCTGCATCATCGCTTACTATTACTCAGTCCTCCTACCACTATAAAGTGGGTGGATTCATCATCTGAGCATAGACGCTCATGAATATAGTTTTGCAAACGAAGAGTTTGTGTGTTTTCGACCTCATTAGCAACATCTGAGAATTTTTTAACCCCTCAGTTTGAGTGTGAGAATCCCCGAGGCCACTTCCACAGACACAGTCAGAGGATTGTGATCGCATGTACAAGCATGTTTGTGTGACTCATCATCACAAATCAAAGTTGCGTTTGCGCTGAGCGGGCCTCGGATTCCCAGGCTCAGCTTTTCCGACCCGTGACCCGATCAGCATCGTGCACATGCAGAGGAGTGCTGCGCACGAAGCGACGTCAACTTCACCCGTGACTGAGGAGATGGCCGGTCGGAATAAAGGCTGCTGTGAGGCTGCAGTGACGCGGCGATTGCAGCTGTGTGTAAAGTAAGCTCCTTCACATGTGCGCTTGATTAGGGAGTTCATGTTTTACAGCGAGCCAAACATAGAAATGCAAACCACAAATGACAAATCCAGAAAGCTCAATGCGCTCGTGTTTTTGTCTCTTTTCATGTCAGGAAAAAAAGCAGAGAGAGACAGAGGTCATGCAGTTCTTTGGGTTTATTTTAGGTGGATGTATCACTTCGCTCCCCCCACTTACCATATTTCATAGTTGCTGACACTCGGGAGGCGCAATCGACATGTATGACTGAAACTCATTTCCCATGAAGCATTTATGACCCCAAAGCACGAAGCTCTGATTTACTACTTAACCCTTAAGACCTGAATGCAGCATCAATGCCGAGAAGGGAATCTTTTTAACTGTGCTGGTTTTCATGGTTTATTAATAAAGAACCAGAGATTTATTTTACCATAAAATTCGACTTAATAAGTGAATCATTAACAAAATAATATTGTTTTTCCAAGATGATGTTATGGCTTTTTTGTTAAGTGCATTTATGTGTGTGCTGTTTCACACACTCAAAAGATGTTAAAATGATAAAAAAAAAAAAAATCATCAGCAAATGAATCTAAAATGATCAATAAATGTGTTTCAAACCTTGGAGGGCCACTTACCGTGCCAGATCTCTTCCTGAGCTTCCAGCTGCAGCTGCTGGCTTTCATCAGCCAGTAGAGTTTGTCCAGAGTATAAATGAGCACTTCATTACTACATGAAGTACAAACTGGTAAATGTCACTGAACACATATATTAGTGTTTTTCTTTAACATCACTCACTATCTGTATGAGTTACATCTGCCTTCAAACGCACTGAGCAAGTTCTGAATCATAAGAATGCAGGAGAGGGCGGCTCCTCTGTGTACCCTGCAGTACCTGCCTAACACGCTCTGCCTCCCACCCAACATGTGCGGTCTTTGTTCGGTACCGAACACGTTTGATCCCGACGCTGCGTTCCACTGATTTGTTAACAGTGATCAAAGATCTAAAGCAGGCCTCGTCCTCGCGTCTTTGATCATAAATTCATCAATTCAAGCTCTTTACAGCACGTTCCCATATCAGCCCTGATGTGGGACAAGATTAAACTCTCTGTTACACTGCTTACTACCATCTTCTGTCTTCATGGAAAATATTACATTTATTTGGCACCATCGACTCTTCACTCAGCTTTATTTCTTTTAATGAAAATTTAAAAAATACTTCTTTTTAGTTCCTACTGAAATTCTGAATTCCTACTGCGAAATCCTGCAGTGCAATTTCAGAGAGTAAGCAACAATAGTGTTGCTTACAAAGAAAACAATTTCATTGGAAATTCTAGGAGCTGGGATGTGATTATGTCTGCAGAAAAAATAACTAAATAAGCTCTGTGTGTAATTTTAGCATTAAGTTCTAGTGAAACTCGTGAAATTAATACATGAACTCTTAAAATAGACATTTGACACACTGGATACTAAACGATGCACTTATGTAACAAAAAAAAGGCTTTACTAACTAACATTCTTTCACGTTTCTATTGTGTGTTTAACTCAAAGCACGTTTGATCAGTCATCATATGTTCATCAGACCTGGAATCTATTAAACATTTGCGCGTCTTAACTTGGCTCTGAATGCTTGGTTTTCCTTAAAGTGCTGAAACTTTAAAACCAAAGTCGGCACGAGTGGAAAAAAGACTAACGTTCACACACTTCCTTCATGTTAAGGAGTCCTGATTTAATCTTGGTGCCAGTGTTTAACTCCCAGGACCAGGGAGGAGATGCAGAAACACTTAGAGAGTGCTGGCGTGTGTAACAAAAGCCATAGAATATCTGACAACAGCTTTATAACAAAATTAGTCATGGCTAAGCAGAAAGCATGTAATCCAGTTAGAACAGCTTTTGCCACGAGCTCTTTTATTTTGAAAATGCACTTCACAAATTAAATCACTGCGCTGTCATCAAGTATCTGTCAGTAATGCGAGCTCCTCATCAGATACACCTTTAGAGCTGGTCCGTGCTCCTCGCCGCGCTCAGCCGTACCTCTGCAGGCCCGGAGCACTTCGGAAAGACGAGTTCAGGCGGAACGTTTCTGCTCGGAGTTATGGCTGCAGGATGATGGGAGCCGATGTGACTCGCAGCCAACGGTGGCCCGGGCCGAGCTCCGTGCTTTGTTCCCAGATCGAGGGGTTAATGGCTTTCCGTACTGGGCGGTGAGGGAGGAGAGGCGCAGCTTTTTTCAGGCATTCTCTGTCGGAAAATTAGGATGCAGCCTCTGTTGTCATAGCCAGGGAGCTGTCTGCCACTTTCCCAGCAGCCCTTGGGCCTGTGACAGGGAGATGGATGATATCTGCAGCCTGGCCGCACTGCTCCCCAAACACACACACACACACACACACACAGTTTGTCTCTGTTTCACACACACACAAACACCTATGCATGCACACACACACACTCTCTTTCTTGCACTTTTTTCCTTCCTTATTCTCATATTGTTGGCTTCTCTGACACACACGTACAGAGTGCGACTGTTTGTGTAGTACGCCCCTCTATTTGCTGCCTTTGGCAACAAAACCAATATCCTACATATCATGGGGAATCAAAATCGCACAAGTGAAAACAATGAAACTGTTTTGAGGGAAACTGCAGGATTCCTCCGCTGTTTGCTTACATGGAGTAAAAATATTATATTTCGAAATAACCAAACACACGCAGCATAATCAGCAGAGGTGTTTATTAAAATCAGCAGAAAGAGCAGACGCTCCAACATCTACATTTAATGCTCGTGAATTCATGAATTGTTCAAACTGTGTACAGAGAAGTGCGGGATATTTCATTAACGAGGAAAATTGCGTGGATGTGCTTTGCAAACGATGACTTAACTTGCACGGCTCAGCTCACAGCTGTAGACGCTTTAATTAATAAAGAAGCTGGATTTGGATTACAGCAGTGTATACAAGTCCATGCCCCATCCCACCACCTTCGTCTTCTCCTTTCCTCCACGCAGTTCCGTTCTCATTGTCCTTACCTGCTATCCCACTCTCCACCGTGCTGCTGATGTTCCTGCAGTTGGGATGGAATCCAGTGGCCATGTCACCTGAGCAACAGCCGGTGCATACTAATGAGGAGCCGAGGGGGCGCGGGGCTCGAGTCTGCTCTTCTCAAACTGGCAGGATTAAAAAAAAAAAAGACAGGGGAAAAAAAGTCTCCTTCACCACTTCACTTTAAATCCCCCCCTTCCCCCTTTTCTCCACACCTTTCTTCCTCCTCTTCCCTCTCATCACTTTGGAATAACAGAGAGAATGGGAGCTGTAAGAGGCAGACGAGGGTAGAAAAACAAGGAGAGGAGAAGGGACAAACAAGGCGCTGCAAGCAGAGGACAGAAGTGAGGGAAATGGTGACATGGGAGAGGGACGGGTGGAGAGGAAGGGAGAATGAGAGCCGGTAGGGAGCAGGGAGTAAAGGGAAACATCCATCACTGTTTTAAGTGACTGCAGTGGGACGGAGCTGAGTAAAAGGTCGTCTGGTCTCTTCCTGAGCAGAGTGGGCACCTGGGCAGAGCTGAGCGCCTTCCAAATGACTCCGGGCTAATTATCTCGCGCAGGCCGTCTGTTACGGCGGTCTGACACTTTTACTGACTCACTCGTCTACTGCAAGCAAAACAAGGCAGTCACACAACTAAACTCTCATCTGCTGCTGTCTGCTGGCATAATGGATCAGACTGAATAAGACTAGAAAAGTAAGGATTTTGTTGATGGTGTTGCAGATGCAAGTGGTATCTGTCTTACCTTAAAGCATGGAGAATGGCAGACAATTGCCGGGGCTCCTAGACGAGGAGAGATAATGATAGCAATTTAGCATAAATGTAGGAACACAGAAACTCCACCACCCGTCTTTTACACAAGAGAATTTGTGAAACGTTAAGCCTTTTGTAGTGAAAGATACAAATCCATCCATGCAAACTCTGAAGAAACACAGTTTTATTATCTAAGGATCCACCTGCTCAGGGGATCAGTGGATACACTTGAGGACACACGAGGAATTCCGAGTCATGGCCTGTTTCAGCATGAACAGAAAGCACGCTGAACATGTGTCTGCTGGAGTTACAGGCGTAGGCTTAACTGAATCTTTAGCTACAAAAGCAACGACGTGGCTACAGAAGCAGGAGTTCCAGTAAGTGTAAACTCAAACTGGACATCAGTGCCAAAGTTACCACAGCCCAAATGTCTGGCAGCCAAGGGGTTAAAAACATTTAGCCTGGGGTGACAATGCCGGCTAGCTATAGGTCACATTCAAGTCCCAGCCACTGGACAGCCAGCCGGCAAGACAGAGCGTAATTATCCCAGCCAGTTACAGTTCAATAACTCCATCAAGCCGCTAGCCAGATACCAGGTTTCCCTGGCAACGCCTCCGAAGTGAATCGCAGATCAGAGAGAGAGAGAGAGAGAGAGAATGGCGAGAAAACACGGGACCCGAGCAGGGAGCAGGGCCAGGAGACACCCTCGAATACTGTGGACCTGCGCACAGCACAAACACTCGCAACCAACCAGGTCTGCGAGCATTCCAGTTGGCTAAGCCGAGACCTCTGCTCTGCCAGGCCGTCAGTCTGCTCCCTCGGAGCTTTGTTGTTTGCTTTTTAATCATCGGCCCCACTTTTCCACAATCCTGCTCCGTGCCCACGGGCCCGCCGCGAAAATCCTCGAGTCTCAGCACAGATCGCTTGTCCTTTCAACAGACAGCTGCACCTCCCACAGCACTTACTGTAATCTGTAATAGTTAATGGAGTTTATCTCCCGTCGCCCTGAGAATAATAAAGAAACTTTTGTGCTTTCCATGCATGAGGATAATTACATTACAAGTGGCACTATGATTTATACCCCTTGATTGAATTAAAAACAAAATTGAATAGGCTGTGTACAAAAATGTGTGTATTTCTCCATTATTTGTGTGTGTCGCTTTGTCGCTAACGCACTTCTACGTGTGTGCGTTTAGGTGACTGTCTGGCCTCCTGCCGCAGTGTCTGGAAACTCAGACACTCCCCCTCCATTCTGTACTGCCCCACTATCAGGCATACCTGATACCCCCCACCCCCAAACACACACACCTACACACTGACCACCACCACCTGCGCCTCCTCCCCACCCTGCTGCGATAAGAGATCCTCCAACAGGAAAGCCTGACAATCGAAAACAACCAAAAATCAAAAACAAGCCATCTAATTCACAAAATCCACCTGATTTCCATGTCGCTCCAGCCCAAATCCTAACGTGCCGAATAAATGTTAATCTGGCCTTATTGCTTTTAAAGCTGAGCGACGCGGCGGCGGAGTGTGTTACATGACCACCTCTGAACAATGGAGCGTAATCTCTCACACACACTCGGGCCATCAGCTGGAGTCTTTAGTTTATCTCCACCTATTCAAGGTCTGGATCAATGTTTCCTGCAGGAGCTTGAAGACTTGGCGAGAACAGAAACCTCATACCGACAGCTGTTTGTTTAACACGAGTGCAGATAAAAGCGCATCGCAACATATTAATATACGAGATCTGCTGATCCGTGCAGCAATTTCAATTATTTCGCTTTAATCAGTCCAAACATAATATTTAACATCCTGTGTCTAAACCGGCACCAGGAAAAGTCTTTTGATTGGCTCGGCATAAACACGGTGCATAAACGTTTTGTTTTTTTTAAAACAGAAACAGAAAAGAAAAGCTAATATTGCCCCTCGCTGTTAGATAGTGCAACCTTGACAGACACTTTCAGATCTACTATAACTGCAACCTGATTAAGAGTTCATTAAAAAAAGTTTGAACAATTTGAATCAGCTCTTATTTTAAATTAACCCATTTTTTAAAGTCACACTTTATACACTTCAATAATAAGTAATAACAAAACTGACACTGACAAAATAAAAGACTTTTAATGAGGAACATATTAATCCTAAAGTGTCAATGTTTTCCCTCAGCACAATGCCTACAGGCTTGGATCTGTTCACTTTCAATAAAATCACGACTTTTACAGCGTTAAAGCTTTAGCAGCATTTTCCTGAACGACACTTCCTGCCTTCGCTGCTACGTCTGATGCAGTGTGTGATGTGTGATGGCAGAATCGAGATCAATTTAGCGGTAGCTCATTGAGAACTAGTTTGACTTTGAACAAAGTTTGTATTCCCCATTGAGCGCAGTTACAAACCAGCTGGGAGCTGATTTTTACGGGGTGATATTTATTGGATCCTTGGCGGATTGCTCTGAGCGTGCTGCTTTGTTACTGTTGGAGGGGGGTGGGGGGGTGGTTGTTTCATCAGTGGGCTCGGGTGCTGCCAGACTTTGCTGCGTGTCAGACAGACCCTAATAAAACTGTCTGGCTGTTTTGTGGGCACCAGCTCCGCTCTGCCTGTGCTGCGTCTGACTGCTCAGCACTTGTCGCACTGTGCCTGGCTGTTTGGTATTCATGGGGCATGGCGCTCCTTCAGCTGTTGCTGGGGGCTCTGTGGCATAGGCACAGACTATTAGTTGGCATCGGCATTGTTCGCTATGAAACCAAATAGGGAGACGAGAAAAAAAAAAACATAATTAGGGAGAGAGAAAGACTGGAGACTGGGAGAGAGATGGAGAGGAGGGCATTAGAGAGAAAATCAATTGTTTTGAACTGTATTCCTAATACGAGTAATTTAGCAGAAATTAGGTTTTCAGAAAAGCATGCCGTCTTGGGAAAAACTGAAAGTTTAAAAACCAGGTCAAGCTGTAATTGTAAATGAATTCACACCTTTCTCTGGCACAAAAGGAAAAGAACCGATTTTTTTTTTTATGCAGACCTAATTTATTGTAATTGCACTTCTATAGTCATGTTTATAAGAGACGGGTCCAGTGTTGTCATTTTCTATTCAGCATTCAATCTTGTCCATTTCTCTTTAAGAGCCTGTCTTAATGAATTACGATGTCTGTCTGCGCTGAGCTACGCCTCCCGTTTAAATATTGATTGAGATCATTAACCAATTTGGTCGTTTCATCTCACCACAATCGCAGATTTCAACAGAAATATTCAGATGAAGAGAGCAACTCGATTTCTGTTGACCCGATTCCACATTTTCAAAGCGTGGCCATAGGTTTTTATTTCACATACTGCATGGTGTCTTTCTTTATTTCCCCTGATTTGAACAATCGGGACCTTTCAAAATCATTTAAATATAGAAAGATATAAAGTCATTAGAGTATTTTTTGTTTATGTATCTGGTTTATGTGCATACTTCTAACTAAAAAAAAAAAAGGTAGAAGTGAATTATAATTAGAAGAATTATTTTGAGGCTAATGTAGAAAATTTATATTCTAACCGTAAAATATTTGAAGACTTTCTGACATCTGGCTGAGAAATGTATCAATTTATGAAGCAGATAAGTGAAATTATCAACTATGAAAAATGTAAAGAAAAAAATGTTTTTGAACTTGTGTGTTTTAGCTCTCCAGTGCTCACAGCAGCAGCAGATGTGGCATTAGTCCTTTTGCTCCTATAGCGTCTAGACTTATCAATTTCAGAGTGACTGCTCTGGTAATGGAGGATCAGATATATTGGCTGTGTGGAGGTGGTGACAGGGGTTAATCAACATGAGCCTGGGGTGTGGTGGTTTGGACTGGTTGGTGTCCTGTCATTTCTAATCAGATCATGTGTTACTAGAATTGTATTCAAACACAGATGTTGACACAAAGAGAGATTACGGTGCCGGTTGACAGCCCAGTGCAGAATCGATGGGTATTTTTCGCTTTAATGGCGGCGGTACTGGCGCCATTACGAAAGGCGTCTTTCATGATTTTGGGGGGAAAAACAAACAAAAAAAATTCAAACAAGCGCAGCCCTGCAGATGCAGTCGCATCAGTGCTGCAGTTTTCCTTAACGGGTTCGTACACGATGTCACGGAGGAGCCAACAGAACACAAACCCTTCACATATGTGCTTTTTTTTTTACTGCGCTAAGCTATTTCCTTTCTGTGTGTTAGCCATTCTCTGCACCGTCCCATCCATACATGCATTTTTAAAAGAAAATCAGCCGCTGATTCTTTCCGATTCCATGTGAAACATTCGGCAGAAAGTCGATTGTGCCGTCCGCCCGCGTCCCAAGAGCCTAACCCGTGATTTTTCATCAAGAGAGCTCACAAGTTAGGGTCTCAGGGAGCAGGTGAAGTACGACAGAGTCTACAGAGGAGCCGCAGTCAGCTGCAGGGCACTGACACCTTTCTTTCTCTCTTACTCACTCACACACAAATGCACACACACACTCACACACACACACTGTCTCTTCGTCAACCAGTGCCACTTAAACGTATCAAATTTCTATCAAAAGGCACCGAAAGCTACAAAGTGTCTATAGTTTAAATATAGTTGAAACTATAGGCACAGGCTGCAATTAAAAAACAAAGTAGCTCTGCACAGATATATGCTCCAGCGTTCCTCCGTTCTTCCACTGCGGACAACTTTTTTTTTCTCGACGGCTTGGTTTGATTCCTGTGCACACAAAGACCTGCAAAGGTAGACAGATTTTCAGGCATATGTTTAAATACACTAAAAAACAACAAAGCAGCAGACAGCAGCAGTGGCAGCAGTAGGCTGCAGAGATGACAAAGAAAGACAAAGCAGGGATTTCGCCGGAGACGGCCAGACCTAAATGATCTTCGTGGCAGTGCCCAGACAGAAGCAGAAGCAGAGGCTCAGACAAACAGACAAGCCTGCACTGCCTGCTCTGTGCTAACTAGCCTTTGTGCTGAGGAAGGAAAAGCCCCCTAGCCAAGCAGCTGGGCTCGCCTTTGTCCTAAAGAGCATCAGCTGATCATCAGTC